TTTATAGAAACATTGGCTGAGATTTTCTCTACGCATGAATCATCGAGTGCGATAAAGTTCAATGTAGCTGAAGTTCAATTCGCTGAGCATGGCTCGCCCTTGAAACTAGAAGTGTGAAGGTTTCTGGATTATGACCTTGACACTCATTTTCTTATTTAAGCTCTTGGATAGCTTGGCAAGGTAAGATAACAAAGAATCACCATTGGCTGAGATACGTGGGGGATTTGGGAGTGGGGTGGGGGGGGGGAGAGCAACGCAGTCAAATACTGTGTTGATTAAACCTTTGGCTCAAACACGACCTCCTGTTGAGATCTTCCACTCAGCTCTATCCTCTAAACAGCTACATGTTTCTCACGCCCTACTCCACATGCTATTTGCTCCTACGGTTCACTTCCCTCCTTCCAGAGCTTCGCTAAACAGAAGATGTATAATCCTCAGAAGGAAAATAACTGGGAAAGTTTTCGGGATTTATGTGAAAACCTTCAATTCCTTACTCGTTCCAAGAAGAGCAAGCGTCAAAATTAAAACGCCCACCAAGTTTATCTTGGCGGGGCCTATGGGATAGGCAACTTCTATCTGGTAATTTGAGGTCCCTTGTACGCAATAACATGATTTAGAGCGCATTTTTTGGATGCAAGTGGTGTAAATCTAATTCTAGGAAAATTGAGCTGGCTCCACTACAATTTGACAGCGTCTTTCTTGTCATTGCCAGAGCAGATCCTAATTCCATATCGAGCACTCTATGCATGTGATGCTTTATGTCAAGGGCACTAGACCAAATGGAGGAAAGTCTAGTTTGAATCGTTGTGTTGAACTGATGCTCAGGTTTTATTTCGTGGCGGTTTCCAGAAACTGATTCCCAATTCTCTGAATATTTGAATTTCTGAATTCATATTTCGTTATGCGGTAGCTCTCATTTATTAAGTGCTATATGGTGCACTTTCTCTCATACACACAAAGACCTATATGCTTATTTATGCTAAGCTTGAAACGCTTTCCTCAAGAATTTTTCTAGAGAGTAATGCGGCAAAGTACAAATCAAGGGCCATTCGGAAGAGCAGTTGAAAAACCACAGGATTCCCTTAGACCTTTGCAAAACTGATTTGCGCAAGATGAATAGCATGATGCTTAGAAAGTCTTTAGAAAAATTTCCGAGGGATTACCAACCGAAGAGATCGCACAAGTGTGCCACAGAAAGGAATTTTCTCAAAGTTGTGAAGCTTCCAGAATTGTTCGAAGCCTTCTTGTTTTGTTTGAAGAAGGTTTATTGGTCTCCCTCCGTGTTAGATGACGTTTGAAAATATATTATGCTTGCAAAATAGGAGTAAGAAGTTGTGAAGGTAGAGAAACCAAAATTCTAGGGTGAAGTGTACCTCCGAGGGGTAGGAGGCAGTCTGTCGGAAGGCCCCTAGGACTAAGCCTAACGCAAAGGGACGAATTCCGGAGCGAATGAAAATTGCTTACGCAGCTCGGATTCCCTCTTTTCCTCCAAAGCTTAGTCCCAAAACTGGAAGTTTTCGTGAAATGACCTAATGTTACAGACTGGCCCCCTGGAGCCCCATTGCGCCATTCTAGATGCTGAGCAAGTGACCCATAACTAAGAAAGCCGCTGAAACTGCTTGAATAAGGCCCTGCTTTTGGCATTTTAACATCATTCAAGATTGCGACGAAAACATTGGATGTAAGGGTGAAGAGCAGACGGCGGGGAGATGAGAGAGAGTAGAGAACGGCGAGGCGCAGACAGTGCCAGTGACGTCAGTTCGAAGGCGAATTCGCAGGCGGAGAATGGATTGCAGGGGATATGATTCTGTCTTGTAAATTTTGTCACGAAATTGGTACAATCACTACGCTTGCACCATCCACATTTCTCGCGCAAAAGTTTCATCCGTTCCTGCAATCGTGCAATATCTCGTAAAGAGTGATTCATTTCATAGCAGGTAGAAGGTTTCGTTAGCACTATTCCGCCAAAATGAGGACGCTTGAAAATCCAATAACTGTATCCTTGAAATCTAATGAAATCCCCCAGAACGTTGACTTTGAGGCAATATGACTATTGGCCAAGACCGGGCATACATTTTGTAGATATTAGCTTTTCCATTTCCATCTGTCAGCAGTGAACCTCTTTATTACCTTCTTTTTTTCTTATACCTCTCCTTCTCCCAGTGTTCTCTAATTAATTGCGGTTTCTTGAGATAGCTGTCGGACTCACGCAATGACTAATGGCTTACTCTTCGGAGGCCTCTAGTATTTCAAGGGGGAACTTTCAAAATGTAACCTGAACCTGTTTCCCTGAAGTAGAAGAATCTTCCCAACAAACTCCCATCTGAAAGTAGGGGTTTCTCCTTTGTCCTTTGTCCCGCTTCCCATTTTGCAATCAGCATTAGAGAAGGCAGTGTTATGAACATTTTTAAAAGTTTGAGAATAAGAGAAAGGCTATCACGCTAAGTACAAAATGGTCCAAGCGCTGAGCTGGGGAGAGATATTGCCCTTGTAGCTGACCCGGAGCGCAGGCCTATATTGCTCACCGTGGCGACGACATTCACTAAATTCAAAATACAACACAGGTGAGGGTGTGACGGCAGTAAGTGGCTTGTCTGAGGTACAGGGGGTGTATGTCAATAGAATCGTCCAGATCCCCGCGCTACTGCTCGTGGCCGCGACGTCGCAACTGCAGTGGACGAGTTTCTGTGAGCGTCATTGAATTTGAATGTTACAGGGACGCCAAGCAGCCCCTTCCTTTGGTATTCAACTTCAACCAACTGCTCCAATCGTCAAACGCAAAGAACCCACTTTCTTCGTAAACTGCCGCGTCGCGACGCCGCGAGTAGCCGCACGCGGCGCACGACGACCGGACGCTTCCGTTGGGCGCTCGCCGGTAGAGGCGGAACGAACCACTCTCCATAGCCCATTCCTTATTAATACATCTTCATTACTTTTTCAAATAGAAACAGATGTGGTGGTCGGCGTTGATCAGTCGTGAGCGATGCGCCAT